TCAAGTGCAAAATAATCAAGAGTTAATGTACTAAATCTGGATACGATATCGAGGATATGCATATGGTTATTGTTCATTGGGCATGACATGCATTCTAGCATAATACATGCATATTGATGAGCCCACCAGATATACATGTTGTGATAATTACATACAATGCATACATGATGTTTTTTATTATGATATACATAATATAAAATACGTGTAAGAACATGTAAAATGAATGAAACGATGTGCTATATGAGACGGATGAGATTGATACAAATATAATTGGGAAGACTAATGTGACAACAGGTTCATCCGGTCGCGAACAGGCAGTTCGCGGAACAGGCAGTTCGCGGAACAGAAAGGGGCGGACGGTCGGGCTTCACGCGAGAGCGAGGTAGTTTCTTCTTTCTCCAATTTTAGCAAGTGATTACCTTCTAGGATAAGAAATAACGATTCCTTTTCATTCTTATCGTTATCAGAGTGTTATTTTGGGAGAAATTGAAGAACAAGAGAAACGGACGAGAAGGATTAAGAGAAGAAGGTTTGTTGAATTTCTTTCGGATTTTTCCTATAAATTTCTTCTTCTACTTCATTTAAAGTGAACAATTTATTTCTTGAAGGTTAGGGAAGAGATTGTAGCGAAGAAAAAGGAAATTGGGAGAGAAAGGAAATTTCGAGAAGAAGGATTTTGATGTGCTATATGAGACGGATGAGATTGATACAAATATAATTGGGAAGACTAATGAGAAATATATGACTAATGAGCGAACATATGAGTGGAAACTGATGACAAATAATTGATAAGACTATTAACAAATAAGATCAATAATGGATGACAGATAAAAGATAAGAAAAATGGATAATGATGATGATAGTGAAAGAAAATACCAATGACGAATAATAGATAAGATTGAAGACATATAACAAATAAGAATGGTGATTGATGAGATTGATTCCTATAGAGTTGTCCCATGACAGATAGATACATGATATATGATGAGAATGATTAGCTGATTGAATGATATAAGAAACATAATGGATATGTAGTCAGACTGATATGGTATTGATATGAATACATGATATATGATGCATATGATAAGATTGGTTCACTTGATATATGAATGGTAAGAATGTGTACGTCTGATAATAGTTTATATGAATATGATTTCTTACAGGCATATTGTTTCTACTTTGTGCATTAATTTCGATTATAAATTTTGGTGACTTGATGGGCTCATTACATGGTTTTAAATGTTTTCAAGAAAGGCTAAGGAACCATCGGAGAGAAGTTGATCCGAGCAGCGGGTTTAGATTTCTCTCCGTTTCTGTTGTTTTTATTTTGTAGTCATGATATAGTTGTACTAATGGGTTGTTTTCGTGGAACTTCCTAACTATTGTATATGTTATTTTTGGATTGGATTGATGTGTAAATATTTTATGAATAGTAATGTATTTATGCTTTCTACTAATTATCCGGATGAAATATGTAAGCTCAGGTTATTTTTTTAAAAGTACAAAGATGATACTCTTTCAATTTAGAGCTTGATGAGAGACAAAGAAGCATTTCTCAAACTATGATTTGCTTAAATGGTCAATAAGTTATTGCATAGTTTTTTAAGCATTGGAAATGATGCCAATTGGTTGCTGAGCATAATTTGCAAAAAATATAATTACTCTATCACTACTTATTAGTTGATATATAATTACTCTATCACTACCATATGATGTAGGACTACGATGCTTGCAGATGATCTTATTAAGAAATTGCACAAATTCTTGTTTAGAGAAATAACAAAGAAACTTATTAGCAAATAAAACAACGAATCAAAACGTAAGAGGGGTCACTTTCGTTTAGGCTAAGTTGCACATCCAAAAGATTTGAATCTTCAAAATAACATAGAAAATAACATTATGCCCAAATAGTAGTTTTCAACAAAATCCCTAATCTAACAATGATATTAGCAAATAAATGAATGCGCTCAAATTCCTACGTTTACTAAGCTTAACAAAATCGGGCGAGCACGTCCTTCGTGACTACAATCACATCACATGAAAAGGATTAGACTTAAATACAAGAGGAAGAGTAGAAAACCTGCGCCAAGGATTGATGGCAATCCTCCACTCGACGATCTCAAGTTGTTCTTCAATCGATTCCACCAAGGTGTCCAAGATGCGCTCTATGTAGTCCTCAACCGTGTGATCGATCCTCGGGTTGATGTCGAAGAAGGTTGAATGGAGAATGTGCACAAAACAGTGTTCGTTGTTCGCAAGTCCGTAGTCAGTGTCGGGATCGGCCATTCATGGAGGCTAATTGACGAAGTCTTGCCAAGGATTTCTAGTACTCTTGGACGTTGTTGAAGAGAAAGAAGTTTCTCTTCAATTTGACGTGTAGGTGGAGAGTTATGGTCGGCCAAGGGAGAGGGTTGGAAGAGGAGTGGTTTGGTGTAAAAGGAGGAAGAACAATTTAGAAATATGAAATAAATTTCAGATTTTTAATTGTGAGCGATTGGAGGAATTAAGTTTGAAATTAATCTCAAGAAGGGAAGTGGGGTTAATGTGGAGAGAAGAGATTTGAGAGAGGGAGAGATAGAGAGGCGGATAGGAGAGAGGGGCCGGTGGTATGAGGGGATGGGGGAGGCTTAATGTATTTCCAAAAGGAGATCTTCTCCTTTGGAAATAAATCAAGTAATAGGGGAATAGGAAAATTCGGCCTAGGAGGTAGTGGGGATTTAGAATTATTTCCTAGAGGTGGGGGATTAGGAAATAAATCAAAAGGGATTTAATGTAGGGGGGCCGACGGCATGCTTGGTTAGGGAGCAATTAATGGGAGGAGTTAAGGCTTCTTAATTTGGTTATAGGAATTAGGAAAGTAATAAATCAAATCCAATTTGAATTTAAAATTCAAATGTATTTAAATTAAGAACTTTCCTAAAATAGATGAAATAAATTAGGAAAGAATTTTGAATTTCAAATTGATTCCAAATTACATTCACCCAAATTAGGCCAAGGATGAAGTGGGAAGTGATGGGGGCGGGGGTTAGGGCCGGCAGTTTTGGGTGGGATTGGCTTGGGAAAATTGGGTGGTGGGAGGAAGGTTCGGGTGGGGAGGGGTGGCAGCTAGGTGGAGGGAAAGGTAGTGTTGTCGGTGATGGTAGGGGAAGGAAAAGAGAACGAGATAGAGGATGAGACCACGAACCCGACTTATCTAGGTTGGTGGGTATTGCACAAATCTCCCTCTCATAGAGATTTCACTCCGAACTCTCAAGCCCTCGTGAGAAGTCAAACAAGAGAAACAAAATTTTCACTTAATCATTCATTGTCTTTGAAAGAGAAACAATGGGCTATAAATAGCCTCATACCTAAGACTCAAAATAGAAAAGACGACAATGACCTCAGGGCTTACATACGACATCCTTTAATAAAAGGGTACAACGGAAAATTAAATAAAACAAATACAACGACATCATAAATAAGAAAATACATAAAATAAATAAAAAATACAATGACTCAATCGTGGCCGTAGATCAGCGACCACGCCTCTGATAAACCTTTCATGATCTGATGTCCCCATCAATTGCACTTCAAGATGCGGAGGAGAATTTGAAAAATGATTTAGAAAAGAAAAAAAAAAGTTCCTAAATAAATGTGTTGGCTATATAGTGCAATTTTTTATCTAGATTCTAGAGAAGTATAAAGATCATTTCTAGCCTTTTAAGCTTCCTTATAATGCCACCTTTAAATCGTAGAGCCACTTCAACGAGCATGGCTTTCAAAGTTTATTGGAGGTCCTCAACATTCATAATCAACTTCAAAACCTAGTAGGTTTTTTACTATATTACAAAGAGCTAAATCATCTCAAGTTGACAACTATGTTTATCAATTTAATAAATAAGATACAATACATATGCCAAAAAGCAATTTTTGAATTAAAGTCAGGTGGAATAAATTACAAGCTAAGCATAAGTACATTAATGAAGAATGGATGAAAAGTCACCATAATAATTTACCTAATCTTAACTTTTAGGGTCCCAAAAAGCATATGCCTCACAAGGCTACGTATTCTAAGTAATTATCTTAACTATTAATTGGTCTATAATTAGTTTTTGACATATTAACTAATTGATTTGTAATAATCAGACTACTTCCATAAAGAATCATTAAAATATCACTAATTAACTTAAATAATAATTATTTACTACATCAGTGTATAATTCATTAGACCAATTCAGTAAATAATCAATAGCTAATCACTAACCTAATTAGTTCCTAATAATTATAATTATTTTGTATTAATTATTTGACTTATGACTAATTACAATTTTTATTTTTTATAATCATTATAATCATTAGCTTAAGCTTTGCATCTTCCCCATACAATTTTTGCTCTTATGCCATAGATAATGTTTATGGCAAACAAAATGTCTCGTATCTGCATAAGCCTGATCTCCTTCCACTTAGTGTATCCTCGCTTAGGTTATCCAAATAGTGAACCCAACAAAACAAGACTATTTTTGACACTTTTATTTCCAATAAATGATAATCTTCCCATCCATATAATAAAATCATCTCTCAATCCATCTTTCCTAGTCATAACCTTAAAAAAATATTGAAACAAAAAATATTTCTCACTGGGATAGGAATACTTAAGAATGTCATCATGGTTCTAGTATTCTACCATAGAATACAGTCATTTTATGCCTTATCAGTTCATCTTCAAGGAAAAAATAAAATTCTGCAATCAGAAATTAAAATAAGATGTTAAAAAGAGGCATGTAATGAACAAGTCTTTTTCAAGCAGGATATGGTGATTAGATGCAACATGGCAAATATTCTAATTTATACTGTGAAATTATCCATTGCTGAGTGACATTTATCCTTATGCCACTGAGGTATGCATTTAGAAAATAAGCAATAAAATTGGTTCTGATCATGTATAACCAGACCATAATAACAAAGATTCAACAACCTGAATTTCCAAGCAAAAAAGTAAATCAGTGTGGCTTCTGCGTTACCTGAATTGGACTGGCAGCAAGCAATAACCCGGCGACACCTCCTCCGACCACACGACCATCTGGACCAGCAAGTGAGACACTTATTCCGCCGGTTCTACTTCTTACACCGTCAGAGTCAGTAATTGTGAATGATCCAGACAGAGATAATATCTCAAACCGACCCTGAAATATAACGATTGCGTAAATAAAACAATAACATACAAAATCCACGCACATTAAATATCAGTGAATTATGTATGGTTCAAGTTTGGTTTAACTCGAATCAGTCAAAGTGATTCTGAAGTAACTCATAACTATCCATAGCTTGCTCAAAATCTGTAGAATAGTTTATAAAAATGTACAGCAAGGACTCAAGTACAGGCAACAAATGTTTTTTTGGGAAGAAACAAACCAGGAAGCATCATTCATATAAGCTTCATCATCATCATCAAACTTAACCTAGCTACTTAGAGTCAGCTTTATGAAACCTGATATTACAAGCATTCTAGCCAAGTTTTAGTGGAGATATTAATCTATTTTGCATTGATATTTTTGCACAATTTCTATCTATGTTACCTTAGGTCTATCCATTTTCCTACTTAATCCATCAACATTAATTTTACTTATGTTATGAGTGCATGTTACAGGAGACATTAAATATATTATTTATAGTACTTTTACAACGACTTCTATCAATATTACATAATTCTATCCATTTTTCCTCCTAATCTTTGTACATGTCCAATTCATCTAAAGCATATTTTTCACAAAAAAAAAAAAAAAACAAATGTGAACCTATCTCTATTATAAATATTTCTTATTTGAACTTTCTAACTTTATTGCACATCCATTGTAACATTTAAACATTATCAAAGTCAACTGACAATTAATGTTGTTTTACCAACCCATACAAAACTTACTTCATGATATTCAAAACGATAGATAGAAATACAAGTTTCTTGGATAATCTAATGTTAACAAAAAAAGGTTCCACGCTTCAATAGCACAAAAAATGCTTTCAGCTAATTGATATTTGATCTTGTAAGTTTTTGAAAATAATCTAAACAAATAAAATATTACTATAAAAAATACAAAAAACAAATGATGACAAAAGAAATCAATACATTTATATCTTAAAGCAAAAGCATAAATACACAAACATGATGTAGATGTAAATGTAAATGTAAATATAAATACATAGAACAACATATAAGAACATATTTGTAATTTACATGCGGATTTAAGTTTGTAAATTAAACTTTTGGATAAACTATAATGCAAACTCAAGGTCAAAATATTCATCCATAATTTTTTCAGCATGGTAAATTTATCATCAACCAATGCATCATGTAATTTTTGAACATGTGTAAATTTATATGAAAAAAAGATGGCAGTTTCACTTAAGCTAAATCATTCTTAGAAGATTTATCTCTTACAAATAAATGATCAAGATGTTTGGTTTGATATAAAGTAATTCAAATGAAGAGTTCTAAAAGACTTGGATGCTCACCGCCTCTCTCATTAATATTTTTAATGACTCCACATGCAAAAGTTGAGATTGAAGCAGAATGATTTCTATAAAACATCTCCTTGTTGACAGGTCAAAGCCCAACCTACTTTGAGCCTCATGGGTCAGATTGGACCTAAATCTAGTAATTGGAAAAAAAACATTTGGTCAACCCCTATCAACTTGATCAAAACTTAAGACTTGGACAAAAAATCTAAACCGGAACCCAACTCAAACAAACACGACCCAACGTGACTCAAAAAACATTTAAGATGCAACCGGATCATGCAAACTCGACCCCAAATAAACGCAATTACACGAATTGGACCTACAACTCGGGGAAAAAAAAAGAAAAAATAATATTTTAATGTAATTTTTTTCGTAAAAAAAAAAAGATTCAAATAGCTATTATTTTTTGTTGAACCAAACCCGACCTGATACAACCCAAACCTAGTGCATTTTTTTTAGTAACATAAGCTAAACTGAATCTAACCATAATATTACTCGGTTGACCTGAACCATGATTTTTCGTGAGGGGATCAAGTCGGGTTTTAGTGTGGGGACAAATGTTGACACCCTTACACGTCCACCATGAACAAACCTATATCTAGAGTAGTTCAATACACAATCAACGATTTTGGCTTGATGTATTTTATCTGTTTATGATTTCTATAGTACTTATATGTCATTATATTTAAATATATTTATTTTCATCTTATTTGTTTAAAAGCTACTAGTCATTTTTGTAATCAAGAAACTATAACTTATGCTCCATTGGTCACAAATATTAAGTTTATGCATAATAATTAAACTTCTTTCACCTGTGAATTTTCTACCATACCATAAGATCTAAAAATTGGTGTCGTCTCTCACTTCACCCCTCTTTGTAGATCCTTCTTCACTTACCTCCTAAAGGACCCTATAATCACCGTTTTGTACACACATATTTCCCATTCTTCTCTGTTTAGTTAATACCTATAGAAGTGATTTACTACTAACACATCTATTTATTGGTTCTACATTAAAAAAATTTTAAGATTTATGTGATATATTTTTATTCGGTTTATTATATTATAATGGAATTAAGATAAATATTTTTTCTTAAATTCTTTTAATATCTTATCTCTTTAGTTACAAATCCCTCTCATAGACCACCCATAACTATCGGCCAGCAATTTGTCCCTAAAGCTATAACACATGAAGTCATAAATTTAGCAAGTAATTGAGAATTAAAAAATATGCATCTTATGAGAAAACTGTTAATCAGAGATTAGGATAGTCTTATGCAACAACTAATAATTTTCTATCATTTTTCAACCCCCTAACAATCAAAAAGAAACAAGGCCCAATGATCTCACTACCATTTTATGCTTTGTGCCCTCTATGATACAAGTAAATCTCAAAATATTAAAGTATTGGAAGTTCACTTTAGCAAGCCTAAAGTTGGGCTAACTTGGATTGCTTGTCTAATGTGGAGAATAGACGTGCAACAACAAAAGTAAGGTTGTATCAAGGATTTCGAACAAGCTTTCACACAAAATTAACATCATTCTAGGGTAATGACATCTTAAAACATGTCTTAAAACAAATATGAATCATATATGCAGCATAACAATTTCAAAATTCAACTCAAATGGACAAGTCTAAACAAAATTAACTTTTTGTGAGAGACAAGTTTAAAAAGAATAACTTATATCAACAAGAATTTATAGTCTAATGTTAGGGAAAGCTGGATATCTTTTCTATGGAAAAAATAGACACGTAAACAATAGAAGGTAAAGTTTTATCTAGGATTTCATTTTCGTACCAAAAATGATTAACCCTTATTATTAAGTCAAACAAAGTCAAATGCGGTCGTTTAATGATTAAGGCTTGGTTTACGAATGCTTTTTAGCTTCTTTGATTTTAAAAACTTGGCATAGCATAACTTTGATTTATGTGGGAATTGTATAAAGAAAAACACTATATTACATGTGCACTTCCTATTATCTTTGATATGTCTACAAAAAATTTGCATAAGCGGCATGAATCTTGAGGCAAAATTTGAATTAGAAACTTTTGGAATTAAATTCAAATAATATGAACTCCAATTTCAGCAAACATATAGTTGAATAGAACGTCTCGACAAGCGAAACCACAGATACCAAAAGTGGTCCAAGTCCAATCCAAGCCTAAATGAGTCAAAATCAAACACATGATACATAATTGAAAACTTTAAACATTAGTTGGATGACCAAATGATCTCCGAATTTGGCATGCTTGTAGTCAAATCGAGTGGCTCCACGAGACAAATTCAACAAGCTCAAGGTCACTTAATTTTGATGTCATTAAGGCGGTTAATTGTTGAGCAAATGTTTCATGATCCAGGGAATTAATACATACTGTATGATGGAGTGTTTTGAATTCGAGCCAAATTTATCAAAATGTCAATATAAAAAAAAAAACTATAAATGGAGCTCCATTCTCTACATATTGTCGGGAGGGAGGTCCAAGAGTTTAGAGAAGAAAATATCTCCCTTGCATTTTCTAGCTTTTACCGCCATCAATGACCACCACCAATTTTCTCCATCAACAACAATCATCAGCTTTTGCCGACAACCACCACCAGTAATCACGTCCACTGTCTATGAATGTCTATCAAGATCTAACCCTATTGTTGGGTATTAACTCTCCTTCTGTCAATAATTCATTTTTGTAATCCATATAGAGGAAATCAGACAATGGTTATCAAAATATACCTATTTACTTTAATTGTGAGGAAGGAAGGACTTCTATATCTCCTGCTATATAATGGCTATTTTAACTAGGCCGGGCCCCATAGGTTTTCCCTTGTCAAATTTTCCAAGTAAAAAAATTGTTGGTCTCTTATAATTTTATATCTATGCATGTTGAATTTTTGTTCAAAGCTAAGACATAAAATACCAACTCTACCAACATAAATTTTGTAGCATGTAACAATCTTTATAGCCATGCGTGACACAATTACAAGACAGCTTCCATATCTCTTGAAGAGAAGCAATAATTGTATTTTCTCCTTCACAACACAACATAATGTTGCCAAATAAAGTACAAGTATAATTCTATGAACCTAAGCAAAGGCACTGACTATACGCGAGCTGCTTAGGTGGTATCACACCACAACTAAGGGTCCATTCAGCTGCTTGTTCATGCTAAGCCTTTACTAAAGGCCTATTTGGCTGTCTGTTCAAGATAAACCTTAACTTATATTAGTAAAAGAACCACTTTCTAACACCGCAAACTACACATAACTAAATCATAACACTGTATGGTGATCAAGATAATAGATTTTGCACTAAAAAAGTTTTTATTAAAACAATTGCTTAAGTATAATATAGCACAATATGACATGACTTAAATCAGATTTATCATTTTACTTGCCCAATTAACTTATTTAAGACCAATTAATTTATGTCAAGGAATTGCCACATAATTTCAACAAAGCTTGTCACTTCTGAATTAAGCATCTTTAACAAATTTTCATTCTCAATTTTGCCCTGTCAGGTCAAAGCTGAAAGTTTGGAAGTACACATTTGACAAATTGAAAAGATAATTTCCATAAAGAATTAAATATCACTTCTTTTTTTATTCTTATCACAAGATTTCAACTCCCAAAGGTTCTTCTTAAACTGTTGAACGTTACAATTAATGTCATGATGTCATCAATTGTAGAACTAAAGGATAACTCATAAAAACAGTCAGCTTTCATTAAAAGACATGTTCTATCTAAAGTTTTTTAGATTATACCAATTTAAGTAAAACAAGTCAAAATTTAATTTTGTGTCCTATATTAGTTATTATTTCCAACATAATTATTGTTCTCTAGTCAATGTGCTTGATCATAAGAAAACAAATAGACCTCTATTATTTTTTGTATTTCAGCAGTAAAATCGTTGTGGATCCCATGATGGTAAATCATGGAAATAAGTTAAAAAAAAAAATCAAAGCACAGTAATAACATTTCAAACTAGAGACAAAAGCAGAAATTTAATTAAAATTGAAAACTAGAGTCAGAATATATCAGAAAAAAATTGCCAAACTTAAGGAAAAGTACACATAAAAAACAGTCCAAAGGATTATATATTCAATTAGGAAGTGAATAACTCTGTAACTTATGACAAATTTTTACCATGAAGAACACAATATATAAAATTATAAAGATGACAAACATGGAGGGACCAAAATGGAAATAGCTCGTGCCTCATATGTGAAGGTACCCCCAGAAGAACCAGGCTGCCGTAAGGTAACATTTGAAATAGCTCCATTTGCTGATAGAATGCATACAGCCCTAGGCCCCTTCTGGGAGAAAGAAAGTATCCTAGCTGCCACATCCTAAATCAAAAAAGATTATCACTTAAAAAACCAGCAAACTCCAAATCTTTCAAAGTAAAACAAACAGTATTTAAAATTAATTACCTCCCCTGCTGCAATAGAAACAACATGAGGAGTGAAACTCCCTCCTGCAGATAGCTGAAACCATTCCCCTAATACAAAACATAGAGGGAAGAAAAAGAAAAAGAAATCGGATGTGAATATTTCATTTCACTAAGCAAAAGTGATAAGCATGATTATCTATTATGGAAGGGTAATATATATAAAAATGAGATTTTTTTTTTATGTGGACAAGATGACAATAGAGAGATACTAAGGAATGTAATGGTCAACCACCAACTACTGACTTCAAACCTGGGCAACCAACCAAAAAAAGGAGTGTCTGAAGAAAAAAACAAAAGAAAGGAGAAAATAGACATGATCTTTTCAAGGAGGCCCCATTAGAATAAAGCAAGTCTCATGTTTTATACTGTAGCCAAAGATCGAATATTTCACTAAAACTGAAGTATTGATCTCAGGCTCTCAGTATTACAATCCGTAAGAAATGGATAAGTAAAAGGAGAAAAAGGAAGAGGGGGGTAGAAGTAAATGGTACCAAGAGCCGCGAGGAGCTGGCACCTGCCGGATCCCCGTGGCCGCCCTCTACCCCGTTTAGCGGAGAAGTCGGAGCCAGAAGAGAAAGGCGAAGAGGATCTCGGCGTCAGAGCAAGCGCCATGCTTTCCGGCCCGAACTTCTTTGGCCTCCCTCGCTTCTTCTTCAACAGCTCCTCCGAACCGCCACTGTAGCTACTCCCTACGCTTCCCATCATTCCCGACACCATTCCCATCCCTAAACCCATCCCCATCCCCATCCCTTCCACGCGGCTCGCCGCCGCTGCGGCCGCTGCAGCGGCCACCGCAACCCCGCCGCCGCTTCCCCCACCTACATGTCCTATAAAGCTTCCAGTTTCACCGCCAACGCCGGAGATCCCGCCGACGTGCGGCAGCGAAGAAGGCGGCGACGGAGAGGAAACAGGAGAAGGGGTTGAAGAAGGAGTGCTTTTTACTCCTCCGAAACCCTCAGACCCAAAAAACACCACGCTCTCTCTACCTTCCATGCATATATACTACTTGCGAGAACAAAGTAAGACACCAATGCGAGAGAGGGAGATTACACGACACTCTCTCTATACCTCCCTCACTCCTTTCCTTCACTTTAGCGTCTCCCTCTCTTATATACAAATAAAACCAAAAGCTTTCCACCGTTTTCTTCCCGACGGCTCACCGTCGCCGGGAAAAACCTCTCTTTTTTGTTTCCCCCTCTGTATACTCTCAATCTGCGCTTGCTGCCTTTCCTACCGGGAGACAATTACAAAGAAAGGGCGGGTTCTTCTTCTCAGTGGAAATACACATCTGCCCCCAACCTCCCTCCTCAATTCCCAATGGAAAATTAGCAGAAAAAGAAGGGTATTTTAGCGATTATATCCAGAGACACTCGAAGGACAGTAAACCTTATAAAAAGTGATTTCCTTGTGCAGTGAATTTAATGGAAAGATATCATGGCTGCCAACGGCCAAAAAGAAAGGGAGATTGCCATCGAGCAAAATAGGATCAAAAAAAAAAAAAAAAAAAGATCATGCAAATCATTACATAAATAACGCATTTATAGTGGCGTGGCAGTGCTTTTCAATTTCTGTTTTCTTTTTTTTAATTTAATTGGAAAATTTCAAAATTGCAGCATATATAGTCCTTCTCATTTTGCTGTTCTTGGCAAGTGTACTTTAGCAAGAAATTTAAAAGACCGAATCAATATGAACAGAGAGGCTCTCATTCCAAGTTGGTCAATTTTTAAATTTCAAATTAATTTAAAAAAAAAATAGAAAATCTTGATGGGTGTGGGGGTGTTTTGGTAATTACACAGAAACAGCCTCACTGTCTTCCCGAGTAAAATTTAAAGGTGGTCTCCATGAAAAAAAAAATGAGAGGTTAGCTTTTCATGAAAAAAAATAAAGTTAAATGTGCTGTATTTAGTCCGAATTCCAAAGCAAGGTGGGAATTAATTTAATTGATAAAAATTTAAAAAAAATGATATGAAGAGTTGAAGACTGTGTGTTTGAATTTCTCTCATGTGCTTTAGAATTTAAATGTTTAAAAAAGGAATAATCTTTAGTAACTAAATTATAATAAATAGTTATCGTGCCACGTATAGTTGTTTAGTTTATTTAATTTTAAAGGAAATTAATATATACTTTATATAGATTCATATTCAAATTTTGGGTCATATAATATAGCATTTATAATTGATATGCCATCAAAAATTATTTTAATCTTGCACAAAATCAAGGCAAAATAGAATTTAATTTTTTTTAAAAATTAAACTGGGGACAATTTGAACTCTAATCTCAGCAAATTTATACTCAAATTAAACATTTTGATTAGACAAACCCAACTAAACCAGAATCTGAGCCTAAATGGGCTTAAATCAAAGGACCAAAGCATTAATTGAATAATCAAATAATCTCCAAACATGTCATGCTTATAGTTGAATCGAGCGGCTCTACAAGACGAATCCAACAAGCCCAATGTCACTTAATTCTAACATAATTAAGGCTTTTAAATACTTGATGAACTCTCTGTACTTGAGGGATTCAATATGGTCGGCTAATGAAGCATTCTTAATTTGCTCCGAATCTTCTTCATATTTACATAACAAGTCACTCCCAAGAATCCATAAATAGAATATCATTCTTCCCATAAAGTGAAAGAAGAATAGAGATTAGAGAGTGCTCTCTTGCATTCACTAGTCATCGCCGCCAACAATCACCAAAAGTTATTGCCGCCAACAATCACCATCGCCATCGACGATCGGCATTAGAAATCAGCACCATCACCAGAATACTAAAAAGATGTAACTATGTTGTTGGGTATAAAATTCCCCCTTTGGACATCTGCTTTTTATTATCTAAATTGGGAAAGTCAACTCATGTTTGTTGGGTGTTAATTGTCCCTCCATGAACACTTAATTTATGTAATCTCCTTCAAGAAAATTAGGCGTTTGTTTAACTCATCTCTTTTTAACCTATGAAGAAATGAGGATCATTGTATTACTTACTACATAAAAAAAAAAAAAAAAAAAAAAAAAAAAAAAAAAAAAAAATTGAATTACTTACAACATAGTAAAATTTTCAACTATATCAGACTCCATAATTTTTTTCCTTTTGCAGGGTTTTCACGTAAAAAATTTATGGTCTTCTTATTTTTATCTATGCATGTTAAATTTTTGTACAACAATAAGACGTAAAATATATACTCTATTAACTCAAAATTTCTAGCACGCAACAAATGATATATTTATTTAAATTTGGGTAGTAGGTGTTAATAACTAACTTGACCCAACAACTAGATAAGGATCCGAATATAACATTTTCGAGTTCAATTTGACCCATTTAATTAATTGGTTAGGTTTGCCTATAAATTTCAATTTGTTTGTTAAATGTGTAGAATCAGGTTGATATGAGAACTTGATTTGACTTGAAAGTGATAAGTTTAATTATTATTTTTTAAATCTTTTGATTATTGGTATGGTCTTCTAAGTAGGGGTGTCAATTCGGATCAACGGGTCGGTTTCGGGTCAAATCCATGATGAATCGGGCGTAAATGGGTTGTCCCCGAACCCGACCCATTTAGCTAAACAGGCCAGGATATACAACCCGGACCGACCCGCGTGGGTTACCGGGTTGACCCGACCCGACCCGCAAACCCAAATAGATATGTTCTAGATCTCCCCTCCAAAATTCCGCATGTTGAGTCGCGTTGCGTAGGGACGACTTGCGGAGGAGTAGACCGGCGTGTAAGAGCGGACCGAGTGACCGTCGAAGGATCGGATCGGCGGTGTAGGGCCTGCAGGCGACTCGCCGACTCGACGTCTCGATGGCTAGGGGCTATCGCGGACTGGCGGAGGAGCCGGGAGCAGACCTGCGACACTGCCCTGACGCGGATGGTTGGCCAGGCGAAAACGGATCAAACGACGACGTCCAATCCCACTGTGGGACAAGACCCACATCCCACACGACATGATTGACGTCCAATCGGACCAATCCCTCATTTCCCCTCCTACACGTGGGAAAAATTAAAACATGCGGAGCAAATGCCAATCTCGGGTCAGATTTAATCGCATCCGGGTCTTAAACGGGTCAATTTTGGGTTACCGGATTGACCCGGACCCGACCCATTTTTGAAATGGGTCAAAAATTTAAACCGGGATCCTAACCCTGATTTTTCAGGTCGGGTTGTCGGGTTGTGTCAATAATTGACACCCCTACTTTTAAGTTCTTATCAATGAACTAAAACTCTATATTGACAAGTTATTAAATTTTTTTTGAATCAAATCATGTTATTGGGTCATGTTCAATCATCTGGATTGTAAATATGTTAGATTCAGGCCCATCTTTTTGATATATTTATTGAATGGGTTGGATTTGGATTGAAGAAATTTAGATTAGATCAATCTCATGTTGAACTTAGATTTGACCCACTAACCCATTTTGATGCTGCTAAATTTAGGGACACATATGTAGAACTTTTAATAGTAAAAATTTTAGAAGGCACACATATTGAATGTAACATTATAATACATATGAATTTAAAATAAAAAAGTACAACATTCATTGATTGAATGCATTAAATAAATATGGAATACATATAATCAAGTTAACATCATAATAATTTTTTAAAATTTTTACCAATAAAAATACAATCAAAATAAAATAATTATTAAAGATATTTAAATTGTCTCTTTTGAAATTAAAAGATCTGTGTTAATATTTTTTATCATAATTTGTTCACTCTCGTCATCATTATTGTACATAACAAATAGCATTGAGTATGATACATATGTCATTAATTTATTTAATATTTGTTAATCAGATAAGTTTACAACATATTTAACACATGTCAAATGCATACCAAATTTAACACATGTCAAAAATATTTCAATACATCATAATAAATCATATTTATAACATTATAAATTTTTAAATTAAACCAATGCATGCAATCTATATCCAACAAAAATAAAAAAAGATATTTCACTAAGAAATGGAGTTTTTAAAGCATAAATTATTTCATTTAAATAAAAAAGTCTTTACATACAATTCTTTATTCAGTTGAGAGATCATACAAAGTCAAATTTGGTCGAGCTAATCACAGATCAAAATTACATATTTGAATTTTGAAATAAGTAAAATTTTCAATGAGTTTAAGAAAATATCGATTTTGAGATCACTTTCATAGCAACTCAAGTCAAGCCTATTAATTTATAAATATTATTAATATATTTAGATATTTTATTTGGTACAAAAATAACAAATTCATCTGATCAAGCATGAATCTCAATATAATATTTAGATTGGAAACTTCATAAATTAAATTCAGAATCATGCAAACACTAATTTCAGCAACTTTGTAGTCGAATTAAATGTCTCAATGAACCAAAATCATTGATGCCAAAAGTGATTTGATTCGACTCCAAATAAGCCCAACATAAGCACTTAAAGTATAAATCTTCTAATCACCACCAATAACCATCATTATCTGACTATTTTCATCCAGCTACTATCATCTGATTATAATCTCCTAATCACTTTCACTTAAATGCAACACCTAATCATTATTGCCTAACATTTGTTGCCTAACTCGATCATCTGATCATCATTGTTTGACTATAATTTCTCAACAATCATTGTCTGACTATTATCTATCATTAACTTTGTCAATAACCATGTCAACACACATCATTGTCTATTAATTTAATACACATTGTTAATACAAAAGCTAACACTTGTCATCACCAATTATGTTGACATGCACAATCACTTATGATCAATGCACACAATTCATATACGCCATTGCCTACAAGCCTAATGCACATTATCCACATGTCTTCCTTTATAAGATTAATACATGTCATCAACACTAAGATCGACACCCGCTAACTTTATCATATGTTGTATGACATCGAGGCCGATGCTCATTATTGACATTAACTTTGATCTTTGGTCAACAATCATCAAAGAAGAATTACCAATAATGTCGACATACCATCACCGTATAAAACCAATGCACATAGTCGTTATTGCCTACATGCCTAATGCGCATTGTCAACATGTCTTCCTTTATAAGAATGATGCATGACATCAACACTGAGATCGACACCTGCTAACTTTGACTCACGTCATCTGATGTCAAGGGCGATGCTCACTATCAACACCAACTTTGATATTTGGTCAACATTAGTCGAAGAAGAATTACCAACACTGATATCAACAATAAAATTAAACTAAACTCATTAATCTTTGGTATCCACTTATTGAAGAAGAATTAGCAAACTTATCATAAATTGTATCTTGCTAATACCTCAGGGCTCTTACAACTTCCAACATGAAATGTATCTTTTATAAATTATGTTTACTATATTATCAGCACATTCCACAATAATAAGAAAATACATAATTTATAACAAACGATATACAGTAAGTGAAATAATTTCAACTAGGCCATACCACATCATTTTTTCACCTTCCCTATTTTTCCACATAAAAACTTTGACATCACTTATACCAATCTTCTCTTTGGTTATGCGGTGGATCTTCATACGAAATTAAGATGTTAAAGTCCCTTTCTCCTACCACGAATATTCTAACATTTAATAGTTTTGACATAGTATGTGGGAAACATTTGTATCACTATAGAAATACTATTTTAGTGATTGATAACAAATCCTTCGATCAATGAAACATAATCTAGCTGGTGAAAGCCATCGATGCCCGGCTTTAGAGAATTACATTCACAAAACAGAAATGACGATCAAGCTAAAATTTTCTAGCACATATAGATGTTGGTCAAGAGAAAATATCTTCATAAAACAACGAGTTTGCCTACCACAAAAATAATAATATACTAAGGTTAATTAATTAAATGCCACCCACATAATGCCCCTTCATCATCATATTGTAATCCCTCCACCACTACCATAGTAGGATCTCTCGGGCATTCCCAACTCAAACTAAATAAATTGAGATCCTCACCTCCCATCTTCTCATCTCATGAGACTTAGAAGAATCAAGATATAATCTTTCTTTCTTTATTTGCATTTGAGCACTATGAAATTCGCCCGCTCGACGTACACTCAATTATTAACACATTTATATCATACAATATGATTAAGTCCACTTTGGATGACATCTAGCTCAAGGACACTATTTTCACCCAACATTTTTTCATTTTCATCTCCAATTAGCAGCAATACATAGTCTCCATAACTAAACATCCACAACACACATCATTACATGCATGGAATACTGAGTTAGCAAATGCCAGAGAGGAACTCTAGCTATGATGGCGCTATTTGAATGTACCAAACATTATACGTTTTTAGGGGTCGATGACATACACATATGCATATACGTAAGAGTGGGGGTATCTTGTTAAAGATGTTGACTTACAATACTCTCATAGATTATTGAATTTTAATTACAATCATAATTTCGTTTGGTTATTATTATTTTTGTTGATTTCTCACAAATTTTCAAAAAAATTATAACAAAAAGATGTTTTTTTGTAACTAAGGCTTCGTTTGGGACAACTTTATTCATGCTTTTTAAAACAACTTTTTAATACAAAAATTAAAATTTTTATACTAGAAAGCTGCATTAAGAAGCAGAAAAAAGTCTTCCCAAACGAAGCCTAAAGCAGCTAAGGCGTACTAGAAAACTGTTATAAGAAGCAGTGAGAAAGCCATCCCAAACGAAGCCTAAGAGTTTTTTTAAAGCTATTGAAAAAACATATTTCTAGCACAAATGTTTCTTCATTTCTCAAAAGCAACTAAAAATCAATAGTCAAACATAATCTATAAATGTGGTCTAAAAAGCAAAGCTGCAGGAAAACTGTCACAAATCAAGCCTAAGTTATTTTTCCCGTAACTTCACAACCAATTTTATAAAATGCCACAGTCATTCCAAATATTTCATCAATTTGATTATTTTAAATGGTTTTTAAATTTAAAATCATAATTAAATTAGGCACAAATTATCTGTCTTATCATTTTTATAAATAAGTTATATAAGCATATTTTAAACTACTTGATTTAAATTTAAATATTATAATTTTTCTCTAATGTAATTTGTTGATTGTAATTATAAAAAATAATATGATTTAAATATTATACAAAATATACCTTTTTTTTTTAATAATCATTCCCCTAAAACAGAGAAGAAGCAGTATTGTAAGTGGTGGCCAGCAGAGTAAATGCTGGCTAAAGTAAAGCGACTTATCGTATTTAATACTCTGCCTAATTAAATATCAAAGAACCATAAAAAGTATAAGTTTCTGAAAAGAGTTCAAAAGTTGATGCTTTGATAAATAGATTCCCTTTCAATTATTTTTTTTTATTCTATTTTATCAAATAGGTTTCTTCTCATCTCTTATAGCCATCATTTGCAGATTAAAACATAACAGTGAAAGCTTTTAAGGCGTGGGAGAACATATTAAGCGCATGTAATTCATCTTGATATGTTGGTTGAGAGTATTAATTATAAATAAAGAAGAATTTATTCTGTGCAAAGATTGGACGCAAAACGTCATCCGGAGACCAATCAGAATGCACCACATCAGTAGTATCGAGTCACAATACCGAGCGGTCATTTTGGTTAGTCTTCGAATGACATTAAACGTCTGTACAAAATAATTAATCCCAATAAAAAGGTATTGGATTCGAGTCCTTGTATGCGATGTGTACAAATTTACTTTAAATGACCTAATTGTTTAAAAAAAAAACATTAAAGGTCTGTTTAGCATGATTTTAATTTTTATAAATGTGATAATAAAAATTTTGTCAGAAAAATAATTAAATAGAAATTTTATTTGTGATCTGAAAATTATCTCAAACAGTATAGATTTATATATTATAATATTTTTTTATGTAGGAAATGTATAATAAAAAAAAAGGTTCCAAATGCAGTTAGTTTTGCCTTGAAGTTAAAGCAATGCCTGACAGAGAATTTAAAAAATGTGCTTTAAATTAAAGCCACATTAATTATTTTTGTTCCTTTTAAAGATCAATCAATTTTTTTAGTCCTTCTGAAGTGGTTTTTTAAATTTATTATATTAAAGTAATTTTTGAATCTGGAAATTACGTCAGAAGGGGATGATAAGAGGCCGAGGCCTAAAGAAATTTTGTTATATTCACAAAAATAAGAGGAAATCCTCATCCATTAATTCTGATGTGCAGAATTAAAAAATTTCATATTTCTCTAAAATAAATTTAATTTTAAAGTTATTTTAAAATTAAATAAAATAATAAAATCAAATTCATATGTTCTCTAGCTTCTTAGATACAAATCTCAATTTCTTCTTGTGGATATAGTAAGGGCAACATGATCTTTCTTCATAGTTTGACGATGAATGACTTAACAAAATGAGATCATTGGAGGAACTAAAGTCAAGCAGTGACATCAATGCATCTTCTTTCCTGCCAAGTTGTTTAGGGTTTCCTCGAAGGACGAAATGGAAGCCCAACCTTGTTTGAATAATGATTTCTATTTCCAATAAACACTGCTTTATATTACTGTAAGAGACATTATGGCTTAATAATTAAAAAAATCAGCAATGATATCCGCTTATTGGATTCCTTGCTTGAATAGTTGCAATAGAAATAAACAAAGTAAACTGTTACAGAAACATTTAATTAAGCAAAAGGGTGGTCAGAGACTGAGACCCTTCCATTTTATCTTCTTTTTGGTCGATTTTAAAAGCAGCATAGACTTTAGCTAATCTACGGCTGTCAGGTTATTATTGAGACATGGATAAAGCGACAATGGCTGATCCCTTCCTCTTCACTCACTCTTAATTAAAATATAATCAACTTTCAGCAGATGAAGGAGATTATAATATATTAATAAGAGCTGAAGTTAACTTTAATTAAAATATTTTTTTCTTAAATAAGTAAATGACAATTTTTACTCAATTCAAATTTTAAGGGATTGTTTGATAAAATCGTTGTTTTATATGAAAAATATCTATAGGTTTATGATTTTTCTTCTGACTGCTGCTTCGCGAACAGAAACCGGATTCCTTGAACAAGAAGCATCGCAGTCAGGTGAGCATCGAGATTCTCAATACTATTTTAAGGGTGTCAAAAGTTGACACGACCCAAAATCCGACCCGAAAAAATTCAGGTTTTGATTAACCCATTTATGAAACGAGTCGGGTTCGGGTTAGGATTTCTGACCCATCTATCTGAAAATGGGTTAGGTTTGGGTTGAACCGAAAACCCAGAGTTGACCTGGCAACCCGGATCCCACGTGATGAATCGTCGCCAGAGTCGCTCGCCACTCACCCAATCTGCCTCTCCAAGCTCGGGTCTAACCTGGCCTCTGACCTGCTGACCTACGTCATGCCAAGTGCCAAGTCGAGCCCCACCTCTACTAGTCCGCCACTTCGCCCGCCAGGCCGCCTCTTCAAGTCCGCATGATAACTTGACCTTGCCCAACGACCCGGGCCCTACACGCTCCAGCGCTTGGGTCGAGCCTTGCCGCGTCGCCAGTCTCCCACGATGCCCAGACCCCCTTGCACTTGCGTGACGACTCGACCTTACTGCTCGCCCAAGCCCTACACTTCTATGCCTGCATAACTGAACAGTTGCACCCACAAGTTCGCGGGTCGGGTTATGTCAACCCGATAACCCACACGGGTCAAATCCGTGTTGAAAATCCAAACCCATTTAACTAAAAAAGTTGGGTTCGAATCAACCTGTTTATGTCCGGGCAAACTTGTGTTGGACTTGAACCAAACCCATTTAGCTAAATTGACACCCCTACAGTGTTTCCTTCCCGTGGTATATGATATTTTTGGCGTGGCATACAAATTAAGGAAATTTAGATCTGGTGTTTTGCTGAACAGCTCACATAAATTTATGAAACAATGCTTGATATTTACAATTCTGTATAATAATGGGCGCTACCATGTACTTGGAATTATTCTTCATAATTTTATTAATATTTTTAAATTCATTATCCCCAATTAAGCAGCCATGCAACATTTTAATAATATTTAAAAATCACGCATGATCAATAATTTGCAACATTATGAATACTTTAATGTAAGCATAAAAAGTAAGCCGCTAATAAAAAAGTCTGACCAGCCATTGTTGGGCATGAAAACTCATAAAAAAAGCTTTTCTTTATTGAAACTCATAAACTTAGTAAATCCATCATTGAACACCAAAAAATAATTGCATTAGGCTGAAACAGCGTACCTCTTTGAAGAAGAGCGAAGGCCTCAAATTATGCCTATCTACATCCCACAAATAAATACACATCGCTACTGCCACCAATATTCCATTTAGAAGGCACAGATCAATGCAATAAACTCACAGCTGCCATATTATTTGAGTAGAGTCCCTGTTAGAAGAAAACACCCACCATTCGGTATTCAAGCTCTGGCATATAAATGTTAACTGGAATCATATTCAGATTGTGTTGATAAATCTACCTCAGTAGAAAAGTAAAACTTGCTAGTTACCTCCATTAGCCATAACAAAAGAGGACGGAAACTGATAAGATAAGCTTCACGTGAACAGCATCTTTAGTTCCTCTATTCTTGCAGTTCGTACTTCCTGATCAGTTAGTGCACCAGATATCATCCTTTGCTTCCGTGCCTGCACAGATTCCATTCTTTCCTCGACAGTTCCCTGCACATAGGGGAGGTGATCTTAATACGTATCCTTTGAATGCGGAGTGGAAATTATTCTTAATTAACAAGATAAAGCAGGATTTGACGTTTCTACCTTAACAATAAACCTTTTAATTGTTACAGGTTTAGTTTGACCAATCCGATGAATACGCATGACAGCTTGCTCTTCAACCGCTGGATTCCACCAAGGATCCTGAAGACAGTAATAAAAAATGATTTCAAATAACTATCCATCTTGTAGTTTAGTAAAGCTTAAGAACTTTCTTTAGTTTCATATAATAGATTTTGAAGGACTAATGACAGATGTTTAGGAAAAATAAAACATTTTATACATTAGTAAAAGAAATGTGCTCTATTTTAAGTTCATATTCTCTAAAGTAAAGCCACTAAAGACTGGATAAATGGCAAAAGATGCATGAACAAAATGAACTTACTAACCAAAACCAATCAGTAAGATAATAACCGTATAGAGCTCCGAAATCAAGAAGTAAAGAACCACTGAAACTGAGAAATAATTGTACTGGAAGTTGGAACTAGTTGGCCCTTAGAAGGTTGAAGCATACGAAACCTAGATGTTTAAGAGTTTAAACAGTTCCAACTCCTATAATTGCACAAGCAGATATAACAGTAAAAAGATCAATTAGTTTTGCCAAATTTGTTCTGCTGCAAAAACAGGCTTTGGTCATGAGAATACTAATGTGCACTTGAAAATCCATTTGAAGGATTTCATGTTTTCTATTTCTGTTATTTCATTTCAACCTTCCTTCAGGCCTTGGATTCTATTTCATCTACAGGGTAAAAAATAGAAAAAACCTGCACAACATAAGTAATAAAAAATCTTTCCATCGTTCGGAATTGCATTTGAAAATACAAACCCTTTGTTTGGACTTCAGAAGGTTTTTTGTAATGTTAAGCAATTGAAATTCTCAGGTTGTTGAGTTCATGTGCTTTCACAAGTAGCTTAATGAATCCAAATAACAAACATGCAGTAAACCGTATCCTCAAAAGGAAAATTAAACAAAAGGTGAGATGGATAAGTTACACCAATTCTGTAACTTTCAATCCAGAAATGATGGGATTTAACGTACAAAATAACATGATAGGATAAATAATTATAAGATGCATAAAAAAACAATACAACAGCAGCTCGTGTAAAAACAATGCATCTCGTCCATGGATTCAATTCAGCAACTCAAAACGTCCGAGAAAAGATAATAAAAAAAAGGATGTCAATTTTTGAAAAATAGCAAATAACATCGCTAGGGCATATCATTATGCACGTCCACATTCCGTTCTCTATTAAAGGCACACAAATCCATTCCCCGTACAACAGAGAAAATACTAGGGATTAGCAAATACCAAGAGAAACGCATTGCAAGCAGCAGTAAGGTTTATTCCAACACCGCCAGCTTTCAATGACATTAATAATACCTACAGAAAAAATTACAAGGGTTGCTGAGACATATTATAAGCCATATCAAACAACAGAAGCTACTGTATATTGGTTTCCAGATGAAATACCATAATGTCTTTCTCCTCTGTAAACCGACTGATCACTTTTTCTCTTTGTTGTTGATTCAAAGTTCCATCCAAACGAGCAAATATTATTTTGTTCCTGACATTCAAAATAAATAAAAAGACAACTGTCACATTGGAACTACGTCACAGCAAAGTTAAAGCATGGCAGTAACAATGGCATATTCAAAATAATTTGCAATTCATCTCATTAGATTTGATGGATCAAAATAATTCTCATCGAGTCAATTACAGATTAGGCTTCATTCGTGCATACTGGACAACATTTCTTGCATGTTTCTTAGTATGTCATGTCAGTTTCATTTTTTACATAGACGCCTTTTAGATTGTACTGAAACCAAGAGAAAATTCTGAAATGGAAATCTCACTTCCTTTCTACTTTATACAAGGGCCCTATTCTATCTAATTATATATAAAGTGATGGTTTTCTTTACAAAAGATACTACGCATCTTTCATACTTCTAGTCATGACTTTCTGATTTGGGGGGTTACATGCAAGAGGGCTTGCAAGATGCTGGTTGAAACATGACAATCAATTCAACTAGCTATCTATCCAAGGTGATGTTGCCAATGTCACGCATCTCAGCATGGCAAAGCAATTAACTTATTGGATTACTTACCCTATTTTTATTCCCCTAGCACCCAGGCTAGATTTAAATATGGACTTCATTCCTGACTCATCTAGGAAAGCTCATAGTTATGACTTCATCTACGTAGTTGCTGACAGGTTCTCTTGCCCTGATAAAAATCTGCAAACGATCACATCTCACATTGCATGTCCTTTATTTGAAGAGATTGATCATTTGCATGGTTTACTATCTATTACTTAATGTAGGGATGTAGGTTTGTTAGAAACTTTTGAAAAACATAATGAAAATTATCTAAAACTAATTAAATTTTTTTTCTCCTTTTCATCCACGAACCAATGGGCTAACAAACGTGATAATCTTTAATTTGGGTAACTTGTTGTGATCCATTGTTGGTTATAATTCAGAAAACTGGGACTTAATTTCACCTACTACCAAATTTGCATAAACAACTCAATTAATCACTCACTGGTAAATCATCTTATGAAAAAATCAATGGTATAAGTTTAGAAAATCAATAGGCTTAAAACCATTATTCCATCATGCATCATAATCTTTCTTTGCAGCATCTTTTGCTAAGCATATGCCCAAGCTGCATGCTAATATTAGAATGCAGAATGTTAAGCACAAAGACAGATACAAAGCAGTAGCAGATACTGTTCTTGTTTGTATCTATCTTCAATGCTTTCCCTGCAATACATTTAAGAAACTTCAAGCAAAATCTTTAGAAAAATGGAATTTAAATCATATTTAATTAATTGCCCAAAGATTTTAATAATAATTATGTTTTCAATATTGAAGATCTTTTACCCTTTATAAGTACTTTCAAGTCTATTGTATCTGGCAAGAGTTACAACTACAGCAAATTAGTCTCATGTTCCTCGGTTGTATGCTTCTCCTTTTGCTTTCCATCAATCTTGCAAGATAGCAATACTTGTTGGAGAGATCATCCACCAAAGGATAATTCATAGATCACCTACGATGAGCTGCATCACACCATACCAAATCTATTGGAGGAGCAACATTTCATCAACTCTCAAGAGGAAAGTTCTTGCAACTAAGAGGGATGATGCAATACATATGGACCTGTCCACATTACTAGCTGACTAGATTCCAAATTAAACTTCATTCAGCTTAGTAAATGGCATATTTTTTTCATTAGAAATCATGGTAGGTTTATTTGTATTTATATGACAGATTGCATGGAAAGCTAAAGAAAATTTTGGGATATGGAAATCCCGCCTCCTTTCGATATATAAAAGAGACAGCTCTTGCATGAAAAAAAAAAAAATTGATTACTTAAACACAATTTAATCATGCAAAGAAGCATCACGACCCCTCTAATCCCTCTTAGCATCCTCTTATTACCCACTTCTTTTTTTTCCTAGAAATTTTTCATGTCACTCTCACCATCTTTCTTTCTATACCTTCTGGATACCTCTCCCACTTTATCGCCTCTTTCCCTTATTCAACAAGTCTCCCAAACTCTCATGCATGCCCCAAAAAAAGGACAAAATACTTGTTGTAGCAACATCAATTACATTTGCACTATACTCAAATTATACTGAAAAATCACAAATGCTAAAAGGTAAATTACAGTTTAAAGGACAAGTATAGCACTAACTATATGCTATAAAAAACTACAGTTTGACGAGAATGCACTCGTGTTTCATGGTGATAGGGCATCTCGTAAGAAAAAAAAATTATTGTGGCATCCGAAGAGCAAACCACAAAATTCGCTTAAGTTCTAGCTAAAAAAGGCCCTGCGGGAATCTGAAAAATAACTGATTTTTTTATGCTAGAAATTAGAGTGAAAGAAAAAGAAAAATAGATTGAAAAGCTTAAATCAATGATTACAGATTCACAATCAACCTGTAATTATAAGGATTTATGCATTAGTTTTACTTCAATCCTAAGTAAAACGTCAAAGAAAAATGCACACAAGCAACACAAATATGGATGTTACCAAAAAAAAAAAATTACCAATCGAACCTGTTGAGTAACCAACAGAATATTGTAAAATAAAACAGTCTTATAACTATAAAAATATTAAGGGTAAGATTAAATGAGAGTATTGATTCTTAAAATGACAAAAAGGTAAATTCTCTCTTTAAAAAGATAGATGGATATCCATAAAAAAATGCTAGATATACGAGACCACAGAAAGAATATCATGCTCAGCCAGCAGGATATCAAGTTCTTTTGGGAACCCATGCACAAACTTAAATATCGTAAGAATTTGTATAACCTTGATAGTGGGATCTGCAGGAGATCCAAAAAAGCTGTCCATTGGCTAAAGACAATACTTTTAGAACCAGAACCTCGAAGTTTTTCCAGTTCGTGAAGAAGTGCAGAAACTTTTGATGATTCAACCCAATTCTTCTCAACGTCAACTTGAAAACGACAGTCAGTAGGAGCAGTTATAAGGTCTTGTTTGTTAACAGTAGTCCTGTAAATTAGAACCAGATATCCAATTATATTTTCTATTCACAACAAGCCTATCATGATAGTAAGTATTGACCATGTCATTCTGAGAAAATAGAATAGAAAATCGAAGATACCGACAAACAGGACAAAGGCCAGATGTAGTACTCCGCCAGCTGGCAAGGAGACATTCCCGACATAAGCGATGAGCACATGGAGTCAACACAGCATCTTCAAATGCTTCAAGGCAGATTGGACACTCCCCTTCTTCGCCCTTCCGCAACTCTTCCACAACCTCCATAATATATGCCTTTGAAAGGGCAGCTTTAGAATCTCCGCCAGCAGCACCCTTACTGCCTTTAAGGAAACGCTTTGCAAGCTTGTTGAGATCCGCAAAATCTTTCGTATCACCACGACTGAATACATCAAATTTTATTAGTTGTGCAATTGATAATCATGAAATCTACATTAGTACATGAAAAACTTCCATAAAAGCCTTGTATAAAAAATAAGTTTCAATGGGATTAGGGTATTCATTACTGAAAGTTTCAATGGGCTTCAGAAAAATAATTTACGGAACCATTACAAGCCTAATGCCAAAACCAAACATGAAATATTTTTTAATCCGTCATAATTCATTACTGATTTCCAAATGCATGTGATTTGGGTATTCAAAAAAGCTTAGCAGAAATTCAGCTCCATACACTATTTCTAGTCCTCTGTCAAATAAAATGCTGCGTCTTTACATCGTACATAACATTTCAATCTATTTTATATATCATCCTTAATAGGAACAATGTAACACCTAATGAACTTTAGTTTGCATATCATAATTAATTCTTCTTAGCTCTTCGAAAGATTTTTTTTTTCTGTCAGTGAACTTGCCATTTCATGCCATCCTTCCTTGCTTGATATTTAAATCCATATAAAACAGTTGATTTTATAACTATTTTATATTTCTTTTAATTTTTACAAACAAAGTACTTCAGTGGGTTCGATTTTAAACATCCAACATAGCGCTTACAAGTTGCATACACAAACCCATCCCTTTAAAGCAGTCTCCATTCCACTTATTTCAAGGTTCAACAACTTTTATCTATTGATTTACTTTCGTATTTTCAATTTTTGTCTCCACCTAATATAAATATAAATAACATATTTTAAAAGGGGCAAATTCATCCAAAACACTTGAAACATAACTATTTATAAAACTAACTCTCTTAAACACATTTTTTAAACTCTCACCAAAATAGCAAAATTCGCAACAAAAATCCAATCGATATTTCTTTATTATTGTCAAATTCCCAACGGCTTGTCCGCTTGATTGTGGCATGGGCAAATACATGGGATTTTATAGTTAAAAAAAGTCATGGTCCTTAGTTTTATAAATATGCAAATTCTTGGTCTTATGCATGTAATTTTCCTATTTTTAAAACCCTAGTATGTGTTAATTATGTTTTATGCTCAATAACAACAACATCAAGCCTTTATCCCACTCTGGGGTTGGCTACATGAATTTTTTTCTCCATTGTGTCCTGTTAAGAGTCAAACTCATTTAAATCTAATAAAGAAAGGTCATTTCTAATATTTTCTAAACAAGTCTTTTTAGGTCTATCTCTACCTTTCTTAACATAAGTCAAATCTAATACATTTACTTTCCTATCCGGGTCATTGGAAGGCTGCCGTTTTATGTGACCAAACAACCTAAGGCGATTCTCTCCAATCTTATCTACCATTGGAGCTACTCCAACCTTTTCACATATATGCTCATTTGTATCCTATTTTTAAGAGTAAAGCCACTCATCCACTTGAGCATCCTCATCTCTACAACACTTAACTTAATATTATGCTTCTCTTTTAATGGCCAACATTCTACACCATAAAGCATTGCATGTTAACCACCATCTTATAAAACTCTCACTTAATTTTCAGGGAGGAGACTTTTCTATCACACAAGAAACCCGATGCATTCCTCCACTTCAACCATCCAACTTGAATTCTACTAATAATATCCCTATCTATTTCACCATCACTCTGAACAATAGACCCAAAATATCGAAAACGTGTACTCTTATTAATGACTTGATCGCCCAAAGTCACAATCCCCCCACTAGATCTATTATTACTAAAATTACACTCCATATATTCAATTTTAGATCTACTCAAACAAAAGCCTCTAGACTCTAAGGTTGACACCTATAATTCAAGTTTACCATCAACTCCCTCTCTAGTCTTATCAACAGGAAGAATATCATCAACAAAAAGCATACACTATGGTACAACCTCTTACAAATGTCTAGTGAGAACATCCATGACTAAAGCAAAAAGATATGGGCTTAAGGCTGATCCTTGATGTAATCCAACTGAAATAGAAAAATACTTGGTCAAACCACCTTGTGTTTGAGCACAAGTAACAGCTCCTACATACATATCCTTAATGACTTGAATATAAGCATTATTAACCCATTTCTTTTCTAGAACTCTCCATATCCCTTCTCTTGGAACTTTATCATATGATTTCTCTAAATCAATAAATATCATATGGAGATCCTCCTAATTCTCTCCGCACTTCTCCATCAAACCTCTCAATAAATGTATAGCTTCCATGGTAGACCTATCCAACATGAATCCAAAATGATTTTGAGAAACATTAATATCACACCGCAACCTATGCTCCATAACTCTCTCCCATAGTTTTAAAGTATGACACATTAACTTAATTCCTCTATAATTCGCACAATCTTGTGCATCAACTTTATTCTTAAAAATAGAAATTAACACATTCATTCTCCACTCATCTAGCATCTTTTTAGTCTTCAAAATAATATTAAAAAATTTAGTGAGCCAAGAAATTACTTCATCTCCTAAGCTAAGCATTTCCATAACTCTATTGGAATATCATCATGTCCAACAGTTTTCCCACGCTTCATTTTCTTTAAAGCATCTCTAACTTCAGTTTTACTAATACGCCGATAAAAATAATGTTTTATGCTAATGTGACTAAGATTACCCTAATCACACCACATTTACTTCTACAATAAATTATGACATCATATATATATAAGTGATAAATGAACCGAGTTCTCAAGGGAAAAAACCAAGCATGAAGCAAACCCAACTTCACAAAGAAACAAATAACTAGTGAGCATATTATAATAATTTGAGAATCATTTATTTAGTATTTCCAGTAGTTAGAACCTTGTTGTGATTGTGGGCTAAGCCGGTTCAATCGAACCAATTCGGTGAAACTAATTAAAGAGACGGGCAAGCGAAGCACGCAAGTGCATGGGAGAAGGCATCCGAGTGAACCATAACAAAGCAAGGCTCGATTTCTCACACAAGTAAAAACTAATTCCACTCAGTTTGGCAGAGTTGAAGGCAACAACAAGAAGAAGACAACATGCATTTGGGGAAGTCAGAGATAGAGGAGGTCTTACGTGCATTAGGCCAACAACAAAGAGGAGCATCTAGGGTTTCATGTTTGACACAGACGAAGGAGAAGAGGGGGTGGTCGCTGCAAGCAGTTAAAGAGGGATGTTTGATAGGCTCAATTAGAGACAAGGAATTATTCGACGGCTTCAATTAGACAGCAATAATTGGATAATAGAAAAAAGAAGGATTTGATCATCAGGTTTCTATTTAACATAGACGAAGCAGAATAATACGTTTTGTATACAGGTGAATTTGAAGAAGAGGGGGCTCTTATTCAATGAAGACAAAGGAGAAAGTGGCAATGGAGCGAGTAAAAAATATTGAAGGGAAGATCTAATTGTTCTATTCCTTACTGTAACTCAAGGGAAGAAATTGAAAAAGGGAAAAAGAGTTGTTCGGTGGACTCAGAAGCCATAAAAGGAATTTGTTCTAATTGCATGGTGAAGTCAAAACTAGGAAAGAATAAGAAGCGCCGTGCAATCCCGTTCAGTAGAGTTGGAAACACAGAGGAAAAAATAGAGCAAGTCACCGTTTTGGTGTAGAAAAGAAGGGGTTTATGTTTTTTATGTGATTAAATTAATTTGTGCAATGGTATTCAACAACGAACAAGAAAAATATGTATTGATCTATGTGATCTCGACTAGAAGAAGAGGGAGAATAATAAAAGTAATCAATGCAATTTATTTAAATCAATTATTTTAGAACATAATATAAAATGCAATTGAAAATATGACTTAATCATTTGATGTGTTCTGTTTTGTTTGATGGCGTTCAGTGCATTGGACAATGTCACTGATGATGTTCGATGTTATCAATGATGCAGTTCGACACTTCTGACGTTGTCTTCCATATTGTTTGAAGTCTTCAGTGTTTATTTGGATAAGTGAAGGAATTGAGTAGTATAAACGGGGCAAGTATATAGAAGATGAGTAAGGACTCTCAGAAAGTAAGGTAAGAGAAAAATTGTATGGTTAATTTAAATAGAAATTTTAATATAAAAATATTACTAAACTATCTAAGTAAATTGATTTAATCATATAACTAAATGCATATGTTGTGTGCTAAGGAAGAACGACTACGAATTTAAGGAAAATTGAAGTGTGATAAGGTGGGTGATAACATTTTCTATTTTATAGCAAGTGCAATTCTATTATTGATTCATTGCATTTATTGATACAACACCTAGTACGTATAAATGCTAAATTTAGTAGCACTATATTACATTAAAATGATGAACTAAATTGTCTGTATTATAAAATAATGTACAAAAAAATATGATAACATATTGAGACTTATATGTATATGTAAATTTGAATCGAATGAATAACTCATAATATTGAAATAATTTAATAAAATGAAAAAAGTATATGCATGCAAATGTAGGAGTTCATCCCCATATGATACTATATAGAAAAGCAATATATCCGTGTAAAAAAAATGATAAAATAAAAATAAAAATGGTTGCACCCTCATTAGAATAAAATATAGACGATGAACCTGTAATAAATGACTAATTAAAAGTTAAAAGTTGGAAATTAAAATATTAAATACTATTCATGCATATCAATGCCTAGGCTTATGTACAAAGTAGACAGCATATCACAATTCTACATTTGAAATAGATTAAAATTATTTTTTTATCATTAAATAGGACTTAACATATGCACATCTTACTATTATTTTAAAAATAATTAAACAATTTCCATTTAGCCTTTACAAGACAATTATCCATGGAGTATCCAAATGCATGATAGTTGATACTGAGAAAATAATCCATTAGCCATTCAAAAATGAAAAAAAAAAAAAAAAAGGTTTCATGTGTACATGAAATTTAGTTCTTTCGCACAAACACACGTTACAGCATCCTTCTCAAAGTAAGCATAAGATTCAACTTCGAATGAAAACCCATGTGGCCATTCTTTAGATAAGACTAGAAAAAAGAAAAACTATATATTTAAAAACAAGGAAAGGTACGTGCTTCACATATCTG